TCAGAATTAAGAACGCAGTTAAGTAGCAAAGAATGCTGTAAAAAGATAGCGCGAGCTTCCAAGTGACACCGGTTTCTTTTTATCTCTCTGTTAGACTTTTTCGATTCAATTCAATTGTTCTCTAAACAGGGAAAGACGAATAGAAAGGTTAGGTTGAAAATGAAAGATATTGGAGGCGAAGTGTCGGCTACAGGTGCGCTCGCATGGCCGGAAGGCCGTATAAAACCACGCTCAACTCTTTCCAATTTCGCTCCTCCTATGACGTCTGTCGATCGCGTTATTTACGAATGCAAATCCCGCTTCGCGAATGTTTCGTCGTTCCGTCAACCTCTATCGAGCCTCTCGATTCGAACACGCAACGGAATCGAACGGATAGACACATTTAAAGGGAGAGAGAGAGAAAGAGCATAGAAGGATTCCCTTTAAACGAAACACAGAAATACGAATGTTCACGGCTAGACGAGACTTTTCGGTCTCTCCTACGAGAAGGAATAATCGCGTCAACAGTCTGTAGAAGCATTCGGTCGCGGAAATAGTTTGCTACAGTAAATAAAAGTTTCGACTTCTTATCCGATTCTTCTCTTCTTCTGCTTCCTCTTCAGAAGCTTCCTTTCAAAGTTGTTCACCTTTAAAAGGAATATTCCGTTAATCCTCCGCGGAGAGTTACCAGATTCCCCCTTAAACTAGAAATCGTATCGACGAAACGCTCGAGATAGAAACCAGACCGTCTCGAGGCGCATTCTGTCGAAATGTCGCGGCAGTTAGCCTCTCCCTTTCCTCTCCTGGCTACTTCCACCGTGAGAGAAAAATAAGGATATTACCGAGATACTCGTGGACGTTGAATTGTTCGGTATATCGTACGATAACGATCGGGGATCCGAGCGGAATGCGTTTGAAAATACCATCGAAAATGGTGTATGATATAAAAAGGAAAAAAAGCTGATTCGTGTTTCCGTGTTATCACTATCCGGGTGACGTAAAGGCGATCCACTCGCGGCTAAAATGCCGCTAGAAAAGCCTCGCCCGAAAGTAAATATCGTTTAAGCAACCCAGCAAGCATTACTTTCTCCGTCCTCGACGGATGCTACGTAATAGCCCCGCGTCATCGTCAAATTGAATAATTTCACAGGATTCGGCTTCGTTCTTTCGCGTCACACTTGAAAAACACCGGCGGAGGCTGGGACAGAAATGAAATTTTTAACAGCATCTAGTATTCTCAACGACGCTGGATCGCTTGCCTCGATCGACCTACTTTATCAACACTCACGGGGTGTATCTTAGAAGCAGAAGAAAGAAGAAGAAGACACAGTGGTTCAGTGGAATTGTTGCACGGGATCATGCGATCGATCGCGCAAAAAGAAAGTCGTTGACAGTCGGACGGATAATTATAACTTTTTCGTACTGCGTAATCGATGATTCACGTGTACGTAGAACGAGTCAGATAAACACGATAGCACAAGGTTATCTTATCCATCTCTCTCTTTGTCTCTCTTTCATTTCTCGTTTTGTTTGAACCGTGGCAAAGAGACGGTAGCCGAGGACGACGGATCGAAAAAAGGGGCACGCGAGCCGCGTGGCCGCGTGCAACGCACGCCCTCAATTACGAGGAAGCGCTTCGCCCTAGAACCCAAGGGTGGTCGGTTGAACGGAAGGAAAAAAAATCAATACGAAAATGACCGTGGTTGGTCGCGACATGTGCGATTGTAAATTATACACGCAATGTGAGAAACTAGCCGCGTGCGTGCGGCCTGCGGCCTGCGATCGATGTAAATTTACGCACGTGCCAGCTGCCCCTCTCCACGAGTGTAACGTTCTTTCGATCGGTGAAAATTCATCGTGGAGACAATTCTTCCTTTTCTTCTGTTTCATTTTTCACGTCGCCAGGTGTGAGTCGTGGACGGTGACGTTATAATGGAAATTTTGGGTTTGCGTAACCGGTTGCGCGGTCTCTCGGTGTCCAATCATCGACAGAGCTGTTCGACGGTATTATTTCGACTGTCGAATTTTATCCAAGTTTATTCGTGTTCACAGGGATCAAACTCTGTATTATTTAGTCACGCGACTAACTTGTGATTTCGAGAAACAGTTCTGTTTGTTACAGTTTACCGAGAAACGGAATCGTTACGACTGTTGTACCTAACACACGTTTATCGAAATCGCTAGATCTACGTTGATAACTGGTTTTCCTCGGATAGATGTATATTCGTGGTTTATTCTTGAAATTGCTCGAGATAATGTATCGGACGGTATCGGGTGCCATCATTTCGAAATAGAGAAACGATTAGTTTTTCAACGAGATCGAAGTTTCTTCCACGGTCGATTAACGGATCATGAAAACACGTACCAGGTATATTAATTGCGTGAAAAAGTGCGCGTTATTGAAGCAGCCGCGTGTAACTATCGTGGCAAGTGCGCCGAACGACAGGCTTCCCAATAAAACAAGGATCTAACGCGCGAGGATCGTGGCCAGACATTTTAATCTGTCTAGCGCAGCGGCTGTAAATAAAAATTATGCCATAGCGTAAAAACGCGACGGTCGTTTGGCGAAACGAGCAGTTAACCGAGTTCCTTCCTCTATTCATAGAGTCTCTCTCTCTGCTCGTTTCGAGCAAGGAATTTCATGGTCAACATCGAAAGAGAGAGAGAGAGAGAGGTTTGTTTTCATCTTAGCGAAATTATCCTTTTCACGGAACAATCGTCGATTAATTCCGCTCAAATCGATGGAATAATTTTCACCGGCCGTAAGCAGTTCGATACAGGAAATCAGCGTATTTGTTATCGCTGAATTCTGATTTCGACTCGACTCGATCAGACGCAAACATTGTATTATTCATAAATGTGTCTCACGGTTTTCTCCCGATTTGTTTTCTCCGTTGCGACATATTTTACATGTTACATCACTCGGTTATTTTGCAATTGAAATGGAACAACAAAGAGTTCAACCCTCTGACTACACGCGTCACGAGCTAGCAAAAACCACTGCCTATCGTTACGACCTGTTGTAATTTCAGTGTACGCTTGAAGAAATATCGAACGATGAATAAATTAAGCGAGATAAATATGTTGTCGAAAGAAAGAGACGAAAAGGTTGAACAGAGGAGAAAAGTAAATACGGTTAAACTTTTACGGAATGTGATCCTGCAGGCTTGTTACGCTGCAACACCTAAGTATCTACGCGTGTTCGAGGGTTAATACTACTTTTCATTCACCTTCGTGTCTAAAGAGCTGATCAGACGTCGAGTTAACACATCCACTCGGTTTAATTACGGTATACTTAAATTATGATACAGGGGGAAAGCAGGCACGCAGAAGGATCTCAGCTGTTCGCGGCGGTGGACCTTTAATACCGTTTAGAAAGTATTTTATTAGCGAGACACGGGGGAAACGTGGAATCATCGTGTATCCCTGAAACGTTGCGAAACACCGGTCCTCTCCCGATCAACTCGCCACAGAATAACAATATTCGCCTCGCTCTATTTTTTATCCAATTGCAATCGCTTCGCGTTTAATTTAGCCCTATTACGAGAAGAATCGCGGCGAGTCGTTCCCTCCAAATTATTGCCTCTCTTCGCGGTAATTAGTCAGCGGAGCAATTCGCTTAATTCCTTCGATCGGAATAATAAATACCGGCTACTCGAGGTCTTTCGCACAACGCCGTAACGAATTCTTCGAAAATTCTCGAAAAATGAAACATCTGGAAAACACGTGGAATTTTTTCTTCCTCCTATGCTTTTTTTTAAATAATTTCATTTTACTTCGTTCGTTGAAAAATTCGAGCCGAGGAGGCTGCGAAAAGTTCTCTAGATGATCGACGCAATTAACATATCGAAGCCAAGTTCAACGCGATTCATCGTTACTTTGGTTCATACGACTCCGTTGCAGGACTTGGTTTTCTCTCGAATGCGTTCACCGATGTTAATCGGGACAAAGCGCTGAAAGCTGCACGAACAGAGCGGGCCGGGTCGAACAAATGCAAACAGGCGAATTTATAGTTTACCGTAGTGCGGTGGTTTTCGATCTGACGGTTACGTTAGCTATCTGGTGTAATCGATCTCGACACGACGACGTAACCACGTGTTTAGTAACTTTCTCGCCGGCAACATTGTACCAACACGCTTCGTTCCTAGTATCTCTGTCTACCTCTCGATTCCCCCTCCTTCCTTTTTCCCCCCACCCATCTACTTTCTCCGTCTTCCTCTCTACGCGTCTTTTCTCTATATTTTTGCTCCTCTATTTCTCAGCCTCGAGATTCCTTTTTTCTCCCATTTTGAAATACCTCACGAATCTCGCCGACCTTACGTAACGTCCGTAATCGTCCAAGGAAGAACTGTAAGGAGAAATTCGTGCGATTTAATAATCGAGCCACGACAGATTCCGACTTCTTCGTTTTTCATTTCTTCTTTTTCACTGTTTTCGGGAGAGAACGAGTGAATCGTCAAAGTTAAATACTCGACTCTTTTTCTATCGTGCGTCTCGTTGTTTTCCAATTTACGTCGTCTCGTTATCTGAGGCTGTCTGGAGAGTAGAATGAAAGTTGGCCTTATCGAGCAGGCTTGGTTATTTACGTATAGCTCGAAATAATTCGAGTTGTGAAACAAGTCGAGTGCGTAGTATACTTGGCTAGTTTTAAATATTCCGCTTGGAACTACTTTTTCTTTCTCCATTATTATACGTTACAGTGGCATACTTTTTATTTTTTTTTTTTTTTTCTTCTGCCCAGATTCGTCGCAGAGTTCGGCGAAAAAGAGTGGGAAAAATGATGGGGTAAATAAAGAAATTTCTGTGTCTATACAGGGCGATACAATGTCGCGCGTGTCTGACTTGGAAATTTCGGTTACGTCATAAATTGCAAGATTGAAAAGCTTAGCAATAGTCAGCGTAACAAAATTCTGACATACTTTTTACCACTTAAAAGGCAGCAGCAGGTCCATGTTTGTCCTGCTCTTCTTCCATTCAAATTTCCGCCGCGTTCTCGAGTTAAACAGATTTTTAGTATCGACACGGGAATAATATCGCGTTCTCGAAATACAGCCGCGTCATCTCCATTCTACCTACCGTTTCCCTCTGTTCCGCGAAAATTTTCATCTGAAAGTTTCCTCGAAAAAACCCGGAAAAAAAGGAAGAAGAAGAGAGAGAGAGAGAGAGAGAGAGAAACGAGCGTATCGATCGCGAAGCGGAGATTTTTATCTGGCAAGCTGTTCCTTTTATATTGTTCACACTTCATGTAAACAGTACAACGACACGCTCCGTAACCAGTTCACAGCGCAGAGAGAAAGAGGCCTCGCGAAGTCGATAACTCGAAGAGGGAACAGAGAACGGCCGTGTCTCGAGCCTCTTTTATATTTAGCGCAACGACATTTTTAGCGTAATGCAATATATATTTTTTCCCCAGCCCCAGGAACGGTGACCGAAACGCTGCAACGTACACACCTGTCCGCGATTCGTCGAAATTCCAAAACTCGATAACCAGATTAGCATGTATTTACGCGTATTCCCCCGATTCTCTACGTCAGCCTTTTATCGCGCACGTGGCGCCACACGATTGATCAGCTAC